CTCTTTCTGGAGGGATTGTGAGGCCCAGATCACTCAATGGGAAAAAAATGTGTTTCAAGCAAACAGACTGCAGGGGGCTCCTGTTAGACCCCACTCCTGTGAGTGTTTCCATCAGATCCACCATGGATGCATTTCAAATACCAAATTTCTACTCTAATGTTTTTAGGGAAGCATGTAAGAGGAGGCATGACTCAGAGGAGAAATCTTAGATGAGTGTTGAGAAACACATGGGAAGAATCTCATAATAAAAAGAAAATAAACTCTGGGAAACGTGGTTGAGAAATATCAGACTCAATTAATAATGGAGCCTTCAATAGCCTTGGAGAAATCCAATACAAACCAAATTCAAACTACATGCCAGTGCTTCTGGCCATATTTACCTTCTATTTATTATGTTTAAAAAAGATTTTAGGGGGGATTCTTTAAGAAAAATAAATTTGGTTAGAAGCTACATTTTTCTATGAAATGAAAATTAGGTAAAGAGCATTAATTTTAGACTTCTCTTTAAATGAGAAACAGATTTCTTATTTTTTCTTTATTTGGTTCATTTAAAAATTTTGAGAAAAGATGAGAACTTACAATAGGAAGGACAGAACTAAAATGAAGTTAAGGGAGAATGTAATGGAATGGGAAAATATACAGTATTTAAAAATGCAATTTTAAGTCATGCATAACTTGTCTTGGAGTTCATCCCAGATGAGTATCAATACAGTCAGGGATAATGGTGAAATCTGAATTAGAACTGTGCAAGGTTTGAAATAGCAATAAGCTTAAGTCTTGGGAATGCAAACTGGATAACATTTTGGAATGAATGCTATCCAAAATGAGGGGAATGAAACTTAACCGCATACCATTCTTATTATATATACCTTAAAGGCACAACCACAGAGGCTTTTGGATACAGATGTAGATGTAGACATACATAGGGTTATGGATAGACAGACACCTGCTTTAGGATATCAATTAGTTCCTAGGTCAAAGTTGTACTAGTGCAGCAGTTTCTAGGGGGGAAAAATCATTTCCTATTCTGGCTCAGAATATTTAAAAAATGACTTTCCCATAACATTTTCTAATGGATCTTCCAGTCACAGTCTCAGTCTTCTATGGAAGCATAATTTATGTAGTGGATGACAAGAAGAGTTTTATGATATCTGGAATTCATTTTAAATCTGTAGATGGGAAAAACTGAGATCCAATTAAAACCTTAATAAATGACTGTGTTGAATGTAAGTATATTAAATTAATATGTATGCAGGATGAAATTGAAAAAGTTATGGGAGTCTGCATTTTAATTCTATCAGGGAACTGTATGTTATAACTCTAAGAATTACTTGGTAATGGGGATGTTTACAATGAAACTAAAATGAATTTAAATAGCAAGATTTAGCCCATGACTTGTCATAACTCATAAGGTCTCAGTCTTAAGGCAGGTTGAGATCTCACTGAGAAGAAGCCTCAAGGAGAGGGAAGATGGAGCAAATGAAAACAAGAAGAACCTTTGAGGCTGATGTAGGGATAGGGCTAGTTTGCAAGATCTTTCCAGAAAGGGAAGCAAGGCCAGGCAGGCTACTATGTGGCAAACCCCATATAGTAGGTAAGATAAAGCAGGGACAGTCTTGGATGGGAAGAAAGTCTCATGGGCGGAAGATGGTAACAGTTTGGTTGTGTGGAAACCTAGCTGCAATTTTTGTGCAGAGTTTTTGTTAAAGTATTTCCCAGGGGCTAAGGGTTGAAAAATATAAGACGTGTTTACATTCAGATAGAATGTAACTATCCTCCACAGACTTACATACTAACCGTAACTTTTGTATCTGTGTATGTATCCCAGAAATGTTACATTCTTATGTAGGTGTTCTTATGACCAAACCTAAATCTGAATGGTTCTAAATGGTAGAGACTGCCCTTCTGACATACTGGCCAAGTGAGTATAGCAATGAAGAAGACAGATCCAAGCTGGGCGTGGTGGCACATGCCTGTAATCCCAGTGGCTTGGGAAGCTAAGGCAGGAAGATTATGAGTTCAAAGCCAGCTTCGGCAAATCAGCAAAGGCCTAAGCAACTCAGAGAGACTAGATCTTTAAATAAAATATTTAAAAAGGCTGGGGATGTAGCTCAGTGGTTAAGTGCCTCTGGGTTCAATCCTTGGTACCAAAAAAAAAAAAAAAAAAAAAAAAAAAAAAGATCCAAAAGTATGTGGGTTCAAACCCCTGGTCCCCAACTTACCAGTTGAACATGACATCATCTACAAATGTTGGAGGCTCAGATGAGACAATGCATCTAACTCCAGAATGCTTTAATTTTCTTATCCTTATTTTTGGAGCAATCTATTAGCTTTATATTTTACAATTTGAGGGTTGAAAATTTATTCTACACCTATGGGTTAGCCTAAGCTATTCCTGTATTTTGGCTTGTTTTAAAACAAAAAATATCCTGAACACATGCTCTCATCTTCCCACTTTCATTCCCTGGTCGATTCAGAACCTGTTTTCATTCCTATCCAAAATATTTTTTGAATGGTCCATCTGAGACAGTGATTGTTAATACTATTCTATAAATTTTCTGGTCCAGATTTATTCTAGAATTTATAGTTTGTTTTTATATTTATTTTATGAATGTACCTTCATTCCTAACTATATTTGGGTATAAGTTCTGGATGTTAGTAAAAATTAGCATTTTGGGAATTGTGGACATGGTTGGTAGGAGTTTGAGAAAGCCTGTTATAGTTAGTAAAGCCCTCACCATGGCATACCCAAGTCACAAGATGCAAAAAGTTTGCCCCTTGTTATTCATCCTTCTGAGACACCCAGGAAGGGATGGTAGTGATCATCCTATTCATCTTCTGCAATCTATCTTCAGTGGAAGGTTTTCTTCTTTAGATAATGAGCTACAATTTTAAAAAATTCTTGTAGTGACAGGAATTAAGTGAGTGCGTTCATAAACATTATTTTATTTATTTTAATAGGGATATATACTATTACATAAGGTAAGAATAAAGAAAGGTTAAGACACTTGGTCAAGCTCACTAGAGTCTGATGTGTTGCTTCCCAGATGTGCAGGCTTTCTGGAGAAACCATGATGTGCCCTTCCCACCCTTGCTCCTCCTTTCTTAGAGCTTTGCTTCTCCTATGGCTAAGGCCCTTACCATATTGTGTTCTCATGCATCTTTTATCTCTCCCACTTAACTGAGAGCTCACAGTTAGGATAATATTAGAGAGCATGAAAGTCTTTCTCATATCCCTGACAGGTCTGATAGTGTCTTAATAAAGATTTTTCCTCCAGTTCATCATAGCTACAAAAAAAAAAAAAGTTTATTCTTCTATTTACTAGTACCTCAAAAAGTTTGTTGAATTAATAAAGGAATGGATGAATGAATGAATAAAATAATTGAGTTTTCTGGCCTCTAAAGACCATGAGCTAAAACATCAGTTTAAAGGATACACACAGTCCAAGAAGTTCTTGCTGAAAATACAACTGATCTCCAAGGAAGAGGGAGGGCCAGGAAGAAGGGTTGGCAGTTCAGAGTTTGGTTTCCCAGGGAGCAGGGTGTTTGACCAGCCTCCCTCTTTTCTGTGGTTCCTCCAGCTCTCTCAGGATTTTGAATGTTCTCATCAACAAACTACAAAGTCCCTTGGACACCTGGTTTCCACCTCTTGGTTTGTGAGCCAACCACTACCAGCCGGCAGTGCTTTTCCTAACTCCATGTCAGCAAACTAATCAGGGTTTCTCCAAGGGAAACTTCTTTTGGGTAAATATTTTGAGCTACTTTTTAAAGATTTCTCTGACAAATCAAGTGGGGAATGTATGGATATTTGCCGAATTCTCTCTCTCTTCTGTATATAGTGTTACTTTCTTTGTGGAAATGACTGCTTCTGTTTGTTGGCTCTGGCTTGGGAATCTGGCTTTCCTTTTTATTGTCGAAGAGCACCTAGAGAGAAGGAGTGGAGAGAGAGGACTTCGAACATCTTTTCCCTGACCACCTGACTCTCAGGTAAAGCTGCCATATTGACTTTAGTTTTAGTTACAATTCAACTTGGATGCTTGTAAAACGACCTTCTGGATTTCCAAGTCTATCAAGAAAGCTTATATCTAATTTTGTTATGAAATTGTAACAAACTTCTTTAAAATCCTAAACCTGTAGAAGGGAAAAGTCCTGCGTATATACACATATACTCACTTCATATACGTATACCATCAATATATATACACACACATATATAACACAAGATATATATGTGTGTGTGTGTGTATATATATATATATATATATACACACACACACACACACACATTGTTTCTCCATAGTGTGTATTTTTTAAATAAAAACTTTTTCATAAACTTAAATCAGAAAGAGCAACGGCATAGGTGTTATGTATTGCACACGTAAGTATATGTGTGTGTGTGTGTATAAAATATGTTTTTACACACACACTCTACCACTGTATGGTTCATGACTTCTTTCACTGATAGATATTTGCGGTCCCTGATCAACAGAAAATATTTTTACAAATAATTTTACGTAAGCCCATCACAAGAGTCTTGCAAAGTGAAGCCTCCGTTCTTTAACAGCCCAGGGAAAACTTGCCTTGCTACTTCGAAGAATCCTTTGATGCGCCCAAAGCCTTGCAGAAGGGCGATGCCAAACCCGTTTAACTTTTTCAAAAGTGTGAAATGTCTGTTAGGAGTTCTCTGATGTGTGAGAGGGGACCCAACCGAGGAGAAAAGGCCGCTTTCTCTTCCCAGCGGGACCCACATCCCTGCCTGCTGCAGAGAAGAATTTGCATACATTGATCTACACAGAACGGTTTCGCGGAAAAAAAAAAAAATAAAAAAAGAAGAAGAAGAAGAAAAGAGGTAGCAGGCACCCAGGGCTGCGGCCGCCGGCGCCGGCGCCCGGGACGGCACGTGACCCGGGGGCGGGGCTGCGCGGGCCGCCGGCCAGTGGACGGGGCCGGGGGCGGGGCCGCGGCGCGGGGGGGCGGGGCCTGGGGCCGCGCAGCTCGCGCCGCGGTCCCCTTATTTGGATCTGCGGGAATGTGGGCTGGAGTGGTCCTGCCACGGTACCAGTCTCCAGCCCGCCGTCGGGACTGCCCCTGACCCAGGCGCGCCCGCTGCTCGGTGGCAGGAGGGCCGGCGGAGCGCCATGGCCTGCATCCTGAAGGTAACGACTCGGATCTGTGGCTCGGACGCGTGGTTGGCCAGCCCCTGGCTGCTAAGAGGCACCGAGTCAGCCGCGGTCCCACCGCATCCTCATCTCAGTTGTCTTTTCCTGGCGTTGATTTTCTTTTTGTTCCTTTGGCAAATGCATATGGAGGGAGATTCTGAAACATGCAGCTGGCACAGCTTCTTTTCCCACCATTCCTGCCTGCTCGCGCCTGCACTGAAGGAAGGAGCTGCAGACTGTTGGCTCCAGGGGAGAGCAGGGTTGTGTGCCGAATAATGGGGATGGCACAGAGAGGAAGGGGTGCTCCCGCGAATCCCCGCAGCTCTGATGAGCCCGAGGCCTTTCAGGGGCCACCGACCGAAGAGGAGTGCCTGGGCGTGGGTTGTTGCTAGTGAGGGGCATAGCGTTTGGAATGGGGGGGAGGGAGAGCAAGGGGAGTTCTAGGGAGTATTTGATCATATGAAGACAAAAACTTCTGGGTTTACAGGTAGTCTCTGAGGAATGAGTTTTCTGTGAAATCTGCTCTCCCTATGTGACATTAGCTCTACTTTGGAAAAGTTCATAGGAAGATATATTCATCGGAAGAGGACCTTGGGCTTCTGTAGGTTCATGAATTTGAAGGGACGAAATGATTTTACAACCTATCAAAGTTCACCCAACCACCTCTTTTTGGTTGAGTTCCTTCTCCAAGTCTGTTCTTCAGTTGTTCTGAATATCTATCTGAGTTCACAGCCTTGTGGCTTCAGGTGATGTGGGGGCTCCCTTAAGAAGAACTTTCTCTCCATCCCCTGGAAGTGCCCCTGCCCTTCCCCACTCCTTGCCCCATTTGTTGTTCACTACTATTTCTACATATGCCTAACCTGACTGCATACTTGAAACATTCACAACGTGAAGGTTTCCTTGACCTTGACTGGAGAAATGTGAAAGCCTGTTTGTTCCCAGCTTGAGGAAGCTGTGTGTGAAAAACAAACCACACCAAAAGACAATTTTTTGGGTTTCGTTGTGTTGTTGTGAAATAGCTTTTTGTTTTGTTTTGTTTTTCTGTAGGATGATTTGAATCACCTACTGCTGTTCTACCTGAATCATCTTCCAACATGGCTTGGTGTTAATGATGCAATTAAGAAAGTAACCTAGTAGAGTTTGTGTCCCTTTCTTGGAAGTAAAGGAGATCAAACATTTCCTGTGACTTTTCTGAACTTCCTCTGTTTGTTTCAGAACATATTCTGGGACATAACAAATGGTAGCAAAATCATGAGGAAACAGTATGTGTGCATTATAATACAGGATTTTTAACCTCAAGACTCTAAGAAATGAATATGAGTAATTTCTACTACTTTTTTATGCTATTCACTGTGGAAGAAATTGAGGGACATAACATTTATTGCCCCTTTTGTATCTTGTGTGCCTAATTCTGTACATTTTTTTTTTTTTTTTTTTTTTTTTTTTAGCAGATTTCTGGGGATGGAACCCAGGGCCTCACACATCCTAGGCTAGGCATGTATTCTACCATTGAGCTACACTCCCAAATCTTTCCGAATATCTTTAATGCTTATCCCATGTTACATATGAGTATGATCTAACCTTTCACTTCTTGCACCTCATGTTGACCTATATTAGGGCATATCTGATTTTATATATCTTTCCTCAAAACTAATCTGGGATGCCAATACTGCAAAGAGCAAAAACTTTGGATGCAGAAAGACATTAGTGTGCAACTTATATGACCCTGGACAAGTTACTGAAATGGCTGTGAATCTGTTTTCTCAACAGAAGATCAAACTACTAGCGCCTATTAGTGGGGATGAAATAAATTAGGATAGGAAAAATACTTTGTAGCACAAGTATTTAATATTTGCCAGTTTTTCTTGATATATAATAATAACAAATGTAATTAGTACCATATCCTTAGAGTGTTTCATATAACTCTTTTATTCTTACATAGAAAGCCTGAAGAGGTACGTATCATTGTTTTCAACTCCATTTTATAGATCAGGGAGCTGAGGGTCCTAAGTTTAAGAGATGTGCCGAGGGTCACACAGGGTTAAAGACAGAGTGAACTTGGATTTAGACGCAGGAAAGTCTGCCAACTTTCCTTATACTTTAAAGCTGTTCCCTGTACTTTCCCAGATGACTTTCTAAGATGCCGTAATACCATTTAGTCCTTGCTGCCTTTCTGTTTGATGGACTAGATGGTCTGTGATGGGCCTTTACCCCTTGTTGTCTTTGAAGGCTACACACAGTAGAGTGGTGAGAACAGGTTTCCAGAGACCTGGGTTCGGGGCAAGCGTGGCTTCATGCTATGTTTGTAGACAGTCATTTTCAACTTGGAGCCTTCCGTTTCCCCAAGTTGTTGAATGTGTACAATTATAATAATTTCTAAAAAGGGTTGAAGTAAAATAAAATGTTTTTATTTTATTTTTTGCTATGAAACATTTTTTTGTATATTCTGGCCCTAGACAGATGTTGGTATCTGCGAGGGAGGAAAAGGAAAGACTCTCTTAGCTTCTTTGCCTGAGCCTGATAATCAAACTGACAAAACAGGAGAAAAGCATACAATTTTCATTTGATATTAGTATTTTTATGTGTGCAGAGACGTCTTCACATGTATAAGAAATGAAGACCCAAAGAAAGTGATAGGCTGAGAACTTATACACCATTTTAACAAAAACTAATGAACTGTGGAGATGTGAAGAGACAAAGGTAAAAGGGGGTTTGGGGCTAGAGGTGGTAAATTTTAGGAAAGAGATTGGGAAACTAATGGAAAATAAGTTTTTCTTATTGTAAGTTTGTACAGATTTATCTTAGTGTTGACCTTCCACCTTTGATGATAAAAAAAGTTCTTCTCTTTCTTATATAGGGAAAATACCTTTGTCATGGGAACTTATATGCCCTTCTTTTAGGTAGAAGGAGACATTAGAGGACTGTTCTTACATCTGCTTTTTCTCAGTTGCCTTCCACTCAAAATAATCAGTATTCCAAAGCAGCATATATTGGAGTGGCATGTCCTAATTCCCTTCATATTACAAGATATATAAGCCATTGACCCCATTTTCAAGTGGCTTACCGTATAGTAAGGGAGATGGGAAAGCAAATGATTGCTTATGTTATAATGCAAAGAACAAAATAGCATCAGTTTCTGGAAGCATAATAGAAGATAGAGGAGAGCAGTGAATGCTGTTAGGGGGGTCGTCAAGACAGGCTTCATACTGATGATATTGGAGCTGAATAGGATTTATTGCAATGGAGCTTTTGTTTTAAAAATAACTTTAGAGGTGATGTCAATTTTATTCTTTGGGTGAAGATTTTAATTTTCTCAAAAAATTATTGGAGTAGATTTTACTGTTCACTTTTCCATATAAGAAAACCAAGATATAGAGATATCTATGGAAGTATAATTTTGCCTATCCAATGGTGACTCAAAAAATGCTTATCTTACCTGTAATCCCAGTGGGGCAGGAGGCTGAGGCAGGAAGATCGTGAGTTCAAAGCCAGCCTCAGCAAAAGCAGGCACTAAACAACTCAGTGAGACTCTGTTTCTAAATAAAATACAAAATAAGGCTGAGGATGTGGCTCAGTGGTCGAGTGCCCCTGAGTTCAATCCCCAGTACTCCCCCCACAAAAAAAATGCTAATCTCTTACTAGCTGAGAGGAGAAGTTCATGTTTGGTGGCTAATGTTGCTCTTTTATGGAATGGAACTGTTCCTTCAAGGCATTGTGCACACCCAGAACCCATTCTGTCCATGCACAGGGCTTGTTCTCATAACAGAGTGGTGGTCTCCTCAATTATTTAATTGTGGGGTCCGAATTCGCTCCACATCACATGGGCCTTCAAGCCAAAAATATGTGGGTTTTAATTATGTCTTCACCTCTTTTTACCACTTATTAATTATAGAACCAGAGCAGGGTTTTTTTTTTTTTTTTTTTTTTTTTTTTTTTTATTTCATGCCTCAGCTTAATGGGGCTGACCATGGGTCATTAAAGGGGTTGAGAATGGGTTATTGTAGGAGTTAAGTGAGGTGATCGGTATATTCATTATCCTGAATACACAAAAACAAAACAACTCCAGATCTCAATAGGTTTATTTCTTGCCATACTCTTCTGGTAACTCTGTCACAGAGTGAACAAGCAACACAAGGATTGGTGTCTTTAGACAAATTAGTCATTTGTCTTTCTTCTAAGTTGTAGATGTTTATAATTTTATGTGATTAAAACTGCATATATTGTGGTCTTTTATGATTTCTACATTTGGTCAGCAAGAACTTTTTGAGCATCGTATCTTGTACAGTTTCCATATTTAACAAACATTTGATGAATTGTATTGAATTTTTATTTGCTACTGAAGTGAACATTGAGTGGATATGTGGGTACAAACTACTTGTGAATTATTTCTGCCTTAAAGAAGATTACAGTTTTGCCAGGTTGATGAGGATTATGAAGATGAGGCAGTCAGAACATGATACAGTTGGTGCATGACTGAGCTACTGTTATCTTTTCTCTAGTCATGTGTCCTTGACTATTTATCATGATTGATGGGAAACTGGATGAGTTGTGATCTCAAGTTACGAACTTAGTGTCTTCTCATTTACTTGTTTTCCTCTTGCCCCAGATCTAATCCTCCACCATATTGCATCAATTCTGCCTCAGGAAAGTCTTTAAGATCTGCCCTTTACTCTGCATCTTTATTCCCTTTGCCTTGGTCTGTCTTTTGAAGTAGGCTCTTTTCTTGAGGCTCTTCACGGTTCCCCCCATCTTTCTTATCACTTTCAGAGTATTGTGTAAAATGCAGTACCAACTAAGCATTTTTTTTTTTGTCTTAAATGCTGATTTTGCCTCCCCAACCCCTGAGTGATAAACTTGTTTAGCATCCTTCAAATTCCTTTAGAGTCTGTCCCCTGGCCATGTATCTGGCCTTACCACTTACTGATCCAGACACGTATTTAAGCTCTTTGCTTTTGTAGTGTAGCATAGGAACTGGGAGCCTGGGCTCAGGATAGACC